CGGGTTCTCCGGTTTAATGATTTTTGATCGAGAAAAGGCCCTTGAATAACAAGCAATAATCATAGTATTGCTAGCAGTCCCCTACCGCTTAGAACACCAGCAACATTCTGAAGGGTCAATGATGATTGAATAATGCCACTGAATGAATGCATGAAATGAATGAACTTAAGTCTTTTGAGTCTTAATTTGTCTATATCATAGTAATGTTCCCTGTCTAGTAAGGAAATTATGTTTATACAACAGATAATCCATAGATTCAATTTTCTCAGAAAAAAATATGTATAACTTATGTTTCAACTTTTCTCTATTTTAAGTTAATTTCTTTAAAGTAAGCAAGTTCTTTAAAAGTGATCACAGGAAACAGTTATACTTCCATCTATCTATAATCTAAGTTTCATAAAAATATTTAGTAATCGCAAATATTGTTATATTTGCCATATTTTAAGAATTTTTGTTGCCAAAGCAACCACATTTTTCAACATAGAAAGACAAAAAGACGTGTAAAATTTCGAGACTGTCATCCACCCATATTTAAAGTTATCACGGGATTCAGTTTTGTGGACATATGGACGGACGGGCGGACGTTCCAATATTTTTGGCTTTGGGCTATTTTCTTTCTTATTTTCTTTTGTCTGCTTAAGGGCTACTAGCCCATAAACCCTTTGATCACCAAATGAACCTATTGTTATCTTTTGTTCTCTTTACCGTTATATAGCCCCTAAACTCAAAATGTTTGTTCGGACAGACAGACGGACGGAAGGTAAACAGAAAGACCCCTCCGGTTAAATCGGTAGGGGACTAAAACATGTGCCTATTTCTGTGTTGCCAGCTACACAGAAGCTTGTCCGGACTACTCCGCAGAAACTACTGGTGAAACATCTAAACTTTACAGGAATGATCAGTACCAAGTCTTGTTGTGCATGATAGTGTCACTTTACGGTTCATTGATTTTTGTTGAGTTATGGACTTTTCATGATTTTTATTTTTAAAGTTTGCTCGGACTTCTTATCCAATTTCAATGACACTTTACAAGACTGATTAGTAACTCAAATGTTTGCGCATCTTACACTGGTTTTCTGGCTGAAAGATTCTTTGCAGAGCTATGGCCCTTGCTACACAGCAGATTGTTTTGACTACTCCCCAGAAACTACTAGTTCATTTTCATCCAGACTTTACAAGAATAATCAATATTAAGTCTGATTTTGCACATTATCGGCATTTTATGTTATGGCCCTTTAAATATGTTTATTTAGAAGGTTTGTTCGTATACCACTAATGAAATTTCAGTGCAACTTTACGGGATTGATCGATAGCTCAAGTACGAGTATGTACGCAAATTACAAAGGTTTTTCGGTTGAATGATTTTGGGCTGAGTTATGGCCTTTAAATAAAACGCGTTTTGCTCTGTTAATAATTTCCTGCTACACAGTAGCTGCAGTATGCAATTGGCTTTCATGAGGCAACACATGTGATGGCTGATTGTTCTTGTTTCCTCAGTCTTGTCCATTTAATGTCCGTTTAAGCCGTTTTAATTCTTATTATTTGATTCCATGCTTTGATCTTTGTTCTCATTTTTTCTAATGCTAAAAATTCCAGTTTTCTTTATATATTGCAACTTCTTCTAAAAAGTATATTTTAGAATAATTTAGATTTAAGAACAATGTTCATTATTGATAAGAATGATTGCTTATAGTCGTAAATATTTAAATATATGTATATCATATTTTGGAAATGAAAAAGATCTTACAGAAATCATGAAAAACATTACTCAATCACCTCAATTGCTCTTTGTCATGGAGGGTCACAATCCTGTTTATAAATTACAATAGCACTACTTCGTTCGACCATACCTCATTCTAGTTTACACAAAGATTTCCGGTCATAGTAACAATACAATAGATTAATGGCAAGACTTGTGCTCCTTAACAACATGCATCATTTTATCTTGACAAGAGGTCGTAGACAATATTAGAAAATATGTCTTTTTGTTCGAAAATGTAAGATGCCCAGACAAACAAATTACAAAAATTACTTTAGACATTTAAACTGATTGCGATAGTGCTTTGATTATATCCGTGAATTATTTATTCAGCTAAATAAATTAATCAAGCATTTGGGAAAATGTATTAAGATTTACACTTAACAAGGTACATTAGTCTATTCTGAAGTGTAAGTCCCGTTCCTCTTTATGGATAGCATTGAAAGCTCTTATAAACTTTTTAAAGTGTATAAAATATCATCTCAAATTTGTCCAAAACATTAAAGTTTCTATAGTATAAATTAAGTGTTTTAGAATTATTTAAAGGTTTGATCCTTGGTCCTGTGTTAATGCGTTCATTAAGTGTTGTTCCTCCTTGTCGATCTTGGTTTCATATTCCATTAAGACACAATGAACAAGTTGAACTTAAACACGCAATAGTACTTTTTTAACTTAAATTATTTTATAAGTATTTTGTGAAAATGAAAGAGATTACAAAATTGATACAGAAAAAAGCATATCATTTTAATTATTATAATGATACATGAAAATGAGGATCAAAGGGATGAAGAACATTATAATGTGTCAGCCTTATTTAAACATAAGATTGTTGGGTACATTGTGTTATGTAATGTGTAATTAACAGAGCAAGTAGGGAATTCCAATATAACATATTTGTAATTTGTAATGTGTTAAGTTGAATGTATCAAAGTTAGATATGCATGGAAAAATAAACGCCCTCGACTACACCTTTGACCAGGCGTTGGTATCAAAAAGGGTTAAAGTAAAAACATATTCCAGAAGTTTTTTCTAGTTTTTCAAAGGAATGGGATAAAAAATGTTTAATCTTATTTATCATATCAAGTGAGCTTGACCTTGCATATATAAATTTTGAATATACTTGTAAATATTTCTGGGAAAAAATTGATCCCTCAGAAGCATCAAAATCAGCAAAATTACATGAAAGTTGCAGAATCGGTTTGAATAAGTCTGTACATGAGGGATAATGAAAAATTGCAACATCACTCACGCCCCCAAGCACCGGCTTGAACAGTATTCGATTTAACTAAATATACTGGAAGCTCTATGTCTCATACTTGTGATCATTTGTGATATAAATCTTAAGTTCAAACCTACTGAATGATCCGTGCATACATTTTTATGTTTTGATTGTATGTTTGTATGTATGTTGTGATTTGTATGTCGAATCAGTTCTTGGGACCAAACAGTACTAATCAATTAGCGAAAAGTTCCTTAATCAAGAGAGCAAAAGCTTGCCCCTAACGGGAACGAGTTGAACTCATGTAGATGAGATTTTTACATTACTAGTCCTACGCTTTAACCACTCTGCCATACTGCCACCGATCCATACAGTTCTTGATAAGACAGTGACGTGCCAATATCCGACTTTGCTGAAACGCACTTAACTTTAAAAATCTGGTTTTCAAATAATGTTACGTAGAGTTGCAGTTTTTGTAATAATCATGGTGTATCTTTTATGGCAGTTTTGATGAGCCCTTTTTGCACTTTTTTTATCTCACATGGAACGTTATATGAATCATGTTGAATAATAAAAGTGACGCCGGAAGGCAATCAAAACATTATGCTCTGTCATAGCATCCCGCTCGTGGTTCAATGTTGTTGAACCGCCAAGAATCTTCACAAATGTTCAAAGAAAATACTGATAACTAACAGTGCAAAATAACAGTTTTTTTTTCATAAATAACTGATTTCATTTATGATTAAATTATATATGATTGTATGATTGCTTAATAATCTAATGTCACGCCAGGTTTTCCCTACAGAACTTTTGCAGTCAATTTTCTTTAGTTTCCTATTGATGGTTTATGAAGTAGCCTTAAATTCAATCAAATGAAGAGTTCAATAGCATTATTTGTAATGTTACATCAACGAAAATGGAAATATGACAATTTGTATAATTAAGTCAATCTTCTGTGCATGATTTCATTCAATATCACAGCGCAAAATTGCTTAAAAATGTATTTTATTTCGGCAGTAATGTCAAAAATAATTTTATACAAGTAGAAAATTCAAGAAATTGTGTCAGATAACTCATGATCTTTGCAAATATTTCATCTGGCTTTTGTTTCATACAAAATTAATTCTAAATATCTAAACAGCTTGCCGACACGACAGAAATCTAATTTAGTAGATCAGAAATTAAAACGTTTGAGAGTGGCTTTCAATTATCTAATTTTTACAACAACAAAAATATATCGAATTTCCGTAATTGATTTGCACTTTCCGGAGAGGAAATTGCTATCTTTTTTGTTTCAAGTTGTTTTCATTTTTTAAATGAATTGAATTGTCTTTGTCTCCAGACCCATTACTCCAACGATGCAAATTACAAGTCATGCATAGTTAATTTGTTTTCTATACAATATTGGAATTCTAATGACGATTCTGGTAGAGCAATATTCACTTGGTGCATGTAACTGTCTATCTTCCTAACTTCACCTAGCACCAACTTACGCGGTACTCTGTTCATTTTCAACGAAAATGCGCGAGGAAAAACTTCACAGATGTCACTCACCTGCAGTTATGTGCATACATTTCTGAAAAGGGGAGTAACAAGAATAAAAATAAATATGTGAAAAATGCATGCAGACTTAAATAATGATGATGAAAGATAGAACAGCATGACGACCATGAATGTTGTTTAAAACATCTTGTAAATACATGTATTTTTAATCTAATTTTATATACATGTATATTAAGCATACTTAATCCCTCACAGAAGGAAATCTATAAGCAATATTTTTAAGCTTATCATCTTAGGCTATTAAAATTTTTTGTGTCTGTGTGTGGGTTTTTGTGTGTGTTGAGGGTTTTTTGTGATTTTTTATTGTTGTTGATGTTGTTGTTGTGGGATTTTTTTAATGTATGTGAGGGTTAGGTGGTCCGAGCACTACTAAAACGTGTCAGTTGATATCTACATGTTGGCTATACTTATATCGTGTCAATACAAAAATTACTTAAATAGATTAATATACAAGATATGTTGATAAAGATAAACAAAATGGCTACTTTTGATAGCGTACTTCATTTCGATTCATGTACTGTATATACTGGTATCTAATTTAATATAAAATAGGATTTCAGTTCAAACTCTATTAAGTAAGTACCATATTTTTCAATAAATATTATGTTTTACGTCTCATGTCATGTTGATGTTTAAAGTGTTTATTATTTCAACAAAGTCATACAAATAAAAGCAAATGTTATAAAAGATAAAACTTAATATTTAAACATATAAATGTCCAAATGCAAATCATATTAATTAAGCAAATGATTTTATCTAAGTTTATAATATAATAACGAAAATGTAAGTTAAATATCAAAACATGTTATCTATACAGAAAGATAGTTTAAAAGCAATTTGATAAAAATTGTAAATACTGTATACAAGTAAATTTATTTCACAAATGTGATACAGTACTCACGAACGCTTTAAATATTCATGTTACAATTTAAGTATAAATCTAGTTTCGGGCACTATGGATGGCAACGTATCAACAGTGTTTCCAAACGTAACTGGACCACCATGTGATGCGGGTGATACGCCATTGTATGTTGGCTTTATGACTGCAGGCATGGCAGTCGTGTTTTACGGTACAACCTATATACCAGTGAAAAAATTTGATACTGGTGATGGTAAGTTTTTTTCCTATTGTTTATAACTAATAACCGACAAGAAAATATTATATAATCGAATAATGCCTATATAATGATCAGTATTTAAATGAAGGAGAATGCTCAGGACTCTATCAAGTTGTTCTTACCTTTGTTTATTTGATGCTTTAAATGATGTCATATTTGAAGTCAAAACAATATCTTTTCACATTCGATGTTCTTGTTAGTTTAACTAGAAAAACATGGGAAACATAATAACTTATTTATTTATCTTAACACAGAAATATTCAAACCTAAATTCAACCGTAAACACAATAGTAGAAAAAGAAATTAAGATAGCAACTCTGAAAATGTTGCAGGCCCCATGAGGCTCGGTTTGATTGTGCTTGTTCATGGTCAGCAGTGTTCAATGCAATAACTCGTTTAATTAAGACTTTAGAGAGAACTGAGGATGTGGTTAATATAAAATCTTAAATGTACTTAGAATCTCACTTGTTTCAGAATCATTTTGGTCATGTAATTAACAGAAACCAAAATCACCGACCACTTTCAAATGATGTATTACCTATTGCAGGCATGTTTTTCCAGTGGGTATTTGGAGTATCTATTGGAATATATTCGCTGATAATTGCACAAGTCCGAGACAATCCGACATTTTATCCCATTACAATGCTTGGAGGCGCTTTATTTATAACAGGTTACAGTTCATGTATACAATTAAGTGAAAAATAAATTTAAATTGATGGTCAAATAAACTGTATTTTAATACTCGATGCTAAGATTCCATCTCATCTTCTTGATTACTTAATGAGTTACAAAACTTCTAAAATATCTAAAACTATATATTATTGACGGGCACTATTACTAAAAAATGTTTAACGAATGTGTGCTAACCTTTGTGATATTCGATAAACCGTACTAAGACTAAACTAGTATTGTTCACATTGCTAATTTGGCACTTTTATAGGTATTTTTGTTGAAGGGTTTACGTAATGATAGTGTAACATTGCATTGCATGCACTGTTTTTATTTATATAATATGTATTTTTAGGAAATCTCACTGTAATTCCAATAGTTAAAATGATAGGACTTGGACTCGGTTTCAGTATCTGGGGTGTGACAAATTTACTGAGCGGCTGGGCTACAGGAAGGTACATTTGAGCCGCGTCACAACAAAACCAACATAGTGCGTTTGCGACCAGCATGGATCCAGACCACCCTGCGCATCGCGCAGTCTGATCAGGATCCATGCTGTTCGCATACAAACCCTATAACAAGAAGAGAAATTTATAGCGAACAGCATGGATCCTGATCAGACTGCGCGGATGCGCAGGCTGGTCTGGATCCATGCTGGTCGCAAACCCATTATGTTGGTTTTGTCGTGACGCGGCTCATTTATTCATATGCACACATCTATATACTAACTTAAATACCAAAGGTAATAGAGAATTTCTTTAAAACTGAAATATTTATTTTAAGTGTGGATTAAATTCGAAATCTTTATTCAAAGCACGTCTTTATTTCCAGGTTTGGATTATTTGGGTTAAAAGCAGATCCCCCAGACAATTTGGTTCTGAATGACATCGGCGTGATATTGGCAGTTATAAGGTAGTTTCAAGCTTTCATTATTGATTATAGAAATATAAGCATTTAAAACGCATTTACTTAGCTTTTATGGGATTGGGCATGTATTTTAAGAGACAAAACTCTTTCAAAACATTTTCTTGTTGCATTCTTTTAAGTTCTACCATAAAGCAAAGTACTAGTACTAACAGTAATACTTGTCTTCACCTAATGCGTTTTTGGTAAAACATCTTCATGGATATTCACGTTATGTTGAATTTATAATCACAAACATTCTAAAACATTTTAAAATCACCTAGTGAAACATATAGCTTATTTAATTGTGTTATCATTCTTGTAGAAAAAGAGAACACAAGAAAATGTCCATTTTATGTTCTATAGTACTTAGTATTTTATTTCAGTGCTGTGATATTCACTGCTGTGAAAAATGAGGTCAGTAGTTCAAACATTGATACAACTGTTACTGTAGATGTATCAGAGAGCAGTCCTTTACTTCGGGTAGGTTTTTTAAAAATTATTTACTTAATAACAATGGAACAACATAGACAGTTTAGATAGATATCTGCATTCATACAGAATTAATTTGTTTTAGTAATGAAATTTGTCTGGTAATTTTGACGATGCAAATTAAACTTTTTTTAAGAAATATTACAATAACCAAATATCAAACATATCGTTTGAAATCATTTGAAGAACAAAATGGTCTATCAAAGATCTTTTGTCGTGTTAAACCCGTTTTTGTTCAGTTTTTAGTAGGCGTCCACAAGATTTGGGATAAATCAATTCTATCAATTTCATTGCATTTAATGTTCATTAGATTCGTAAATTCCATTGCAATACACAAATCGTATCATTTTTTCAGTTATAGGAATTTAGGATCCCTAAAAGAAATGGTACCTTAACATCCAAAGGAGTTTAAAAGTAAAAAATAATGGTATAGAAGGCAAACAATAATGTATGTATTTGATATTATTTTACTTTTCAGAACACAGATCACCTAATCGAGAAGAGGTTGCTAGAAGAACCGGAGTGTGACATAGTTACTTTACCTAAAATTAATCAGGTTGTATGTCATTTTATATTTATTAATTTCAAAGATATAAAGAAATTTATTATTGCCTTCGTGCTTACCAGTTTAAAATATGAAAGTAAAGCATTGTCTTGATACTAATAATTCTTCCCCATAACAAAAAATAACACTATCAGACAGAAATTTATCTTTCCTTTCTTTCCTTCTTAACTATTTCAGAACGAGTCAACAACGGAGCAAGAGTTATTAGTACAAACAGATGACTCTAGTATGTTTGATCATCTGAGTCCAACAATAAAACGTATATTGTAAGTCTTGCTCTACGCATTTCATTTTGCTCTCTTTCTGTCTTTAAGACATGCTTTGTATATATGCACTTTTAATTGCTATAATGAAAATCATCTTAAAGCCAAAGCGTCTATAGAAGTATGTTGTTGCTGTTTTTCTTCGTATGTGCTTCTAGTCGTAATTGGTGACATGAAGTTAACACTTTTTAATGTGTCAATTATAATGTTTATCTCTAATTGTACGTTATTTTTTTTTTATAATCTTTTTTACTTGAATTGATTCTTTATATAATCTTGATTATTTCTGAAAAGATTTTTTTAAATACATAATGTTGTAACAAATTAAGCCCATATCAAAAGCTATGCGTTTCAAAGTTGTCAAAGTGTTACAGAACCAATCAAATGTTTACAATTAAATGAAACGTAAATGTCTTCAGTTGCATTATAATTAGATATTGCGGAAAATTTGAAGCATTAACGTGTTAGGTCAAATACATAAAAAAAAACTATTAACCTTTTAACAAAATGAAAACCCGTAAAAATGTGTATCTTTAATGTTATTTCTTCTAATGGTAGCAATAGGAGAATAATCAAATGGCCCTCCTTAATGTCAATATCGAAGCGATGTTGATTAATCACAATTTTAACACCCTAGTCGGGTTTTATTTCAGTGGTTTGTAAAGTTTAAAGACATAAAAAGAATTAAATCGCCATGCATCAACTGTAATAATATTATTACGACCGTGTTTAAACGCTTGAATTTCTAATAAAAGATAATCCAGCCCTTTACAGTTTAAGCGCGCACGGCAATCAGCATCAATGTTTCAGGATTTTAGAATAGCAGCAGACAAAAAGTTTGCTTAATAAAGTCATTAGTTTTCTGTAAAATATTGAAATGCTTTAAATTGACGATGTTAAGTGTAAAGGCGATATTGGAGACATGGGTATCTTAGTACAAATAGTTTAATTGATAGAGTTCTTTTCTATAGATAGTACACGATCTGTTCAAATATATACATACATATATAATTAAACATCGCATTATATCATAACATGATAAATTATATCTATTTTGTTACACTTTATTTTCAAGGGGAGTTGGCCTATCATTACTGGCAGGCTTAGTGTATGGTCAGGTTTTCACCCCATTTCTTTATGTTCAAAACAACTATGAGAATTCCAGTCAAAATGGTAGGTTTTATACTCGTATAATAATTTAAAAATGACCCTTGTAATAGCGTGTTTTTGTGTTAACAACAGCATTTTGTCCTCCTTGCTTTTATTTTGTATCTGTTTTTTTATGATATAAAGGTAATGTTTTCTCTAGAGAATGTTCTAAACCAATTTGAACAAATGTGGAAGGAAGAAATAATTCATCACCGTTTTAAACTGGTTGTTGTCAATCATGTGATAACAACTAAGTTGTATTGATAATATATTAATGTAACGATTTCAAGCTGCGGTAATAGTTCATCTTGAGCGTTTATTGTTATAATATTTTGATCTTTAGCTAGTTTGATATAAATATTTCGTAGATAATAGACGTGTTTCTTACCCAGCCATTTCTCTTGTAAGCCTTAAAATTATATATGTATGGGTTGTCTGCGTTATGTCAGTTGTTTTCTTTTCAATATTCAAACAGAATCGTATAACTGTGTATAAACTTTGTTTTAACTGTGTACTAGTACAATTGTAATGTTTACTCGAGTATATTCTAAAGCAAATGTTTACAGCCCTGGACTACGTATTCTCTACACTATGTGGAAGTGTGATAGCATGTAGTGTCTACTTCTTGCTGTATGCTGCCTATATGAAGAATCGCCCTAAAGTTTACCCTAGGGTCATTCTACCCGCATTTATCTCCGGGCTTCTGTGGACAGGGGGTACAACGTGTTGGTTTGTTGCTAACAAAGTACTCTCAGAATCCGTGGCGTTTCCAATAGTGACCACTGGGCCAGCCGTTGTTGCAAACTTGTTGGCTGTTTTTGTGTTCAAAGAAATTAAGGTAAATAGACTAGAAATATTTACGGTCAGGTTGTTGCTCATATTTAATAAACTATCACTTTTTTTGATAAATATATTAACGTATTAACGATTGTTTCAGTAGATTATTGTATTGAAACTTTTTAACAATTATCTGTTACACAGCACATGTTCTTACTTTCATTTCTCTATTTTAGGGATTTAGAAACCTGTCAATACTAGTATTGGGTTTGTGTATCACAATTACCGGCGCATTACTTGCAGGGTTCTCCAAACAGTCATCCAGTGCTTGCTGACCTCAGTTTCAAAAACTGTTTAGTGTATCTACGAAGCATTTAGACATTTTACGGGTTTTTTTATTTTGTGGATAATCAATAACATAAATTTTTCCTTTTTCATGCCAACAGCCGTTTTTATAATGTCAAAGTTTGAATGTATAAGTGTTATGGACAAGTTCTATAATCAAGTAAACCAACGAGATTTTATAAAGAGATAATACGGTGTTTTGCTGATGTTTTTATTCAGTTCATATATTTTCTACACGTTTCACATTTTCTTTAGTTTTACATTGAACACATTTCCCAGCTTTAGGGAATGTGATTATGTTTCACACTAATTGAACAGGTTATACTTTATCGGCTTTAACTTACCATTAATTTACCAGTTCAATTAAATAAATCACTCGGTATGGTCTCAGCACATTGTGATTTCTTAAGTGGTAACATGTAGTTCTGCGATATTAGATGAACTTTGTACAGACGACATTTGCCATGTTTTAACATATGCTCTATTAGACTAATACGTTACTCTGTAGAATTTAGAGAAATAAAACATTTTAAATAAAATGCACACTGGGACATATTGACTTTCCCATCCATTGAGAAAGATTAATGAGACTTTGTAATTGATGGTAGCTTTCAGAGTACAAAATTGTTCATTGTATATTACTTACGGTCACAGATACTCAGATTCAGCTCATTCATAATGATTTTAACACCACGTGATAGTTGTAGTTTTAACCCCGGGAATGATGTATGGAAAACAGGAAAACCTCGTTTTAAGAATTTAATGATCTATAATCTCGTACAATACACATCTAGAAGACATTCCAGTATAAACTATTGAATATTTAATGAGAAAAAACACTTAAAGAATAATGTGATATGTAATTATATAATGTTTTGTTGCATGTTTATTATTCACTTATTTGTTCTAAAACGTATATGTACTATAATCTTCCTGATAACATTATGTGAAACTGTAAAAAAATAATATGAAGCTTTATTTTCATTGGCTATAAATTGGGGTATTAAGTCATTATCTAATTATAGGTACACAACTTTTTATACCAGGAAGTTAAAATGTAAGACAAAATTAAAAAAATGTACTATATACATAAAAATCTATACAAGAAGACGGTGAAACGTGTGTACTTGTATGAACTTTTGGGTTAATATTAAAACTTGTATGTTTATTTAAATAGTTAATTCCCTATTATCTTACTAGATAAATCTAAATCAATAATTTATGTCCAGCTCTGATAACCTATGATATTTGGGATAATATTTATTTGCAATATAGAAGGATTTAAAGTCGCATTTAAAGGTGAGTATTTGGCTTTTGTAAATGTAATGTTTAGTTGAAATTTAATTAAGTCACACATTTATCACTTATTCATTTGTAACTGTGTACTTTAAGCATTAAATATTAATATCATAAACATGTATATGCAAGCAGAGTTTTAATTGCTATTGACTACATTCCAAAGTAAACGATAAACTTTAAAAAAGATTGTGTTTTAATACAATCGTTTATTCTGTCACTTCTTTTATTAATTTTGTCAAATAGCAACAACTTATGTTACAAATAGCTCTGTGCAAATAATATATAAAATTGTTTCATACATACATACATACATACATACATACATACATACATACATACATACATACATACATACATACATACATACATACATACATACATACATACATACATACATACATACATACATACATACATACATACATACATACATACATACATACATACACTTTTAATAACATTTTATAGAAACCATACATGTTAATACATATAAATAAAACAAGTTCCCTCGTATTACATCTAAGTGTTGATACATTTTTCTGGTCTTTTAGAGTGGTGGTGCTGTTGGTAGTTTTCACTCCGGATTACGGCAGTAAGTCAACATAACTTTATGAAAATATGCTAAAACATCACTGCATTCACTCGATACATTGGACATAGTAAATATATCAGATTTAACATGTATTTTTCTATGAAATAGTGTCAAAAAACATATGACTTGCTAGAAATCGCCTGTATGCGAAATGAGTGTGTACCGTTCCCCTCGGCCCAGGCTATGAAAAGAAAACTGTACTCGAATGTTCTAAAAAACCATTCAGGGGTTTTCATAATTTTGATATACCGTGGATAACTTACGGGTACTCTGCGCCTTATCTCATCAAAATCGGTTGAGTAATAAATAAGTTATGAATAAAAAACATACCTGAATCGGGTGAAAAATCGGCGTGTTCCGTACCCGAAAAGTCACGTGGTATGGCCACATTGAGTTCAGCCACGGCATCGTTCTTGGGCAGGCTGACAAACAGTTTACCAGTACTAGTTGCCTTCACTTTCACAAGAAACTGATAACTACTGTACAATCCCGAACAGAGGTAATGTGCAAATGACCGTAGAAAAGATTAAATGATCAATCACAACGTAAGTGACTTGCACGTCCGGTAATCGAACCCGGATCGCCCGATTCACAGTCCAATGTTTTACCTTTTGAGCTAACCGGACGGTGCCATTACACTCAGTCAAAGTGATTGTTTCCTAAATACCTTCATATATTGTCTAAGCCGACGATGCAAGGTAAAGTAAGAAATTTTGATCATTCAATCGATTCTCATAAACAGACTAAAAAGTCAACACAGTCGACTTCGTTATTTTAACTCTCGTGGCTCTCAAGCGATCACTACTTTCGGATTAAAAAAGTAATGTCCATTAAATGCAGTACTGTTATAAATGGACATCTTTAAATACATATTGTAGATGTTTGTTTTGTAAATTTAATCACGGAACAGACAACAAACACAATTTCTTCTTTCATTCATTTCAGAATTACTTGTAACACATAAAACATTCTAATATTAACCGTTGCTGTGAATTGAATGAAATGAACTTTTTGACTCTGCCAGGATTTTCATATGTTTTTTATCCTGAAAGATATTCATGGATACATAATTGTTCATTCAAACTTCAGTTTTTGCTATTGAATTTCCCATTATCCTTAGATCTACACAAGTTAATTTATACTTACCAATACTTGTTCATATACAAGGTATAAATTTACAATTTTGACTTTCATTAAACTAACTCCATTTGAGCACCTGTGAAGATGTTTCATCTCTTGCATACCAGACTGGTGTTTCCGTTAGCTTTACCCATGTCATCTACCATGGGGGTGCCAGATGAGTCGCGTGCTATACAATGGCATGCTTTGGGTGTTACGAATGAAGTTATAGTTTACATAAAGAAAATAGTAACGGGTATAATGACATAATTTTCCATGGAATTTTTTTATTAATGTAAAGAATTTAAAGTATGAGAGAAAATGGTAGAATATGCAAGAAAAAGATATCTGACATATCTTTGCGGTTCGGATCGGCAAGCCTCGTTACCGTTCAATTGGGGAGGATATTGCGATCTGAACCGGAACATATGACAGATATTGTTAGTATTAAGTCAATTACTCGACTGCTTTTGATGAGCGTACAGGTTGATCATCTTGAAATATGTAAAATGATATTATAATTATTGTTACAGACAGAATGGAGGGTAATATAACAACAATGTTCCCCAATATTACGACACCACCTTCCGAGCCGGAAAAGACTCCCTTATATGTTGGGTTTATTTGCGCCTCTCTTGCCGTAGTGTTATATGGAACCACTTATATTCCTGTAAAAAAGTACGATACTGGCGACGGTAAGCTTTTCATCTTACATCAATTGGATAGGTCTACGACTGGCATAAATTACATAAATATATCATGGAAAATATTGATAAAAACAATAGAAATTTATTGAGCTATTTCTTGAGAATAAAATGTTGAAAGAGTTCTAAGTGTTTGAATGATAAAAGAAACCAAAACTTTAAGCACGTATTCAAAATTATTTCATACCATAATGCAATTATTCCTATATCCTTATGCAAGTAATCTATTAAAGCTCCTTATGATAAACCTCTGCCGTATACCGACAATTACAGGTTATCTTTTTACAGGTATGTTTTTCCAGTGGATGTTCGGTATCTCTATAGGAATATATTCACTGATTGTTGCTCAAGTCAGAGGTAATCCGACATTTTATCCTCTTACAATGCTGGGTGGTGCGTTATTTATTACAGGTGAGATATCTCCTGCATTTTTCATTTTTACTAAACCTTTAATTATCTGTAATGGAAAAAAACTGCGATTGCACATTTTAAGAGAACAATTACTGAAGTATTGTACTATATCAATACAGTTGCAATGACTTCTTATTATAGTTCAAAGTATCAGTATGACATCGAGAAACACTTAGGTCTATTAAATAGTCAAGATAACCGTTAAAGGTCGCCCAACTCGGTAAAAGTGTGCATACTCAGTTAAATTGAGTTTGTTCATTGACGCCGTGATAAATGCGAGCTACCGTTTACACCTACCTAGCACCGGTTAAAAAAAACTTGCCTTTAAGATACTAAACTGTAGTTCCATTTGTAAGATAACTTACCATTATCTTATATATATACAGGAAACTTGACAGTTGTTCCGATTGTAAAGTTGATAGGACTTGGTCTCGGCTTCAGTATTTGGGGTGTTACCAATTTACTCAGCGGCTGGGCTACAGGAAGGTGCGTATATGTAAACATTGATAATTGATAGTCCAAAACTTCTGTGTGACTGATATAAGTAAATATTGTTTCTTAATAGCGCGTGTGAAAAGTCAAAATACATTCTAAACATTTTATTATAGGTTTGGATTATTTGGTTTAAAGGCAGATCCTCCAGACAATTTAGTTCTGAATGATATTGGAGTAATTTTGGCTGTAATAAGGTGAGTGAATGTTTGTTTCCCTACAGTCGTTGCTAGTTGTTAAATTGGTAAAATTCGTACTTTGGTTTTATAAAAAAAACAAAGATAAATGCTTGATGGCAGTTCATGTTATGTTCAATCACAATACAAAAGGGAAGAAAGATAACCCCCTTATTATACATAATGTTGATATGTTTAGGAATCATCCCGATTTATATATTACATGCACATGCATAATTGGCTTAAAAAATTTGCTTAGTTGAGAGGTACATGAAATACATGTGTTGATACTAAGTCCTCGTGATATGTTGTTGGTTAGTATTATTTCCTTTTATGAACTATTAAAGTGATTTCCTGCCCGTATTCTGCCTAGTGCCCTGTCCTGTTTTTGTTTGGGGTCCTCCTCGGCTCCTTGCCGCTAGTCCTTTTGCTGGGTCATGTGGGCAATGCGTTCATTGATGATCTTGTTTATCATATTTTGAACAATTAACATGATTGCTGTGTTTCAAAAAATTTCTTTCTTTACCCTCCCTCGAAATTTTATTGTATTGCAATTGTATTCAACAACATTATTAGAACCTGTATTACATTTATTTCCTCTACAACTTATTGTTTTGTTTAAGGGTAATTATAAACACAGCATAATTAAAAAAAAACTGAAGTATTCTTTTCCGGAACCTACCGGTTATTCAAAGTTAGAGCGTACTTTTCATTTATTGGTACATGTTTTCTTCGATAATCAGATATTACTTCTAAGGATAACTTGACACTTGAGACATAGCTGGCTAATGAGATGAGGAAAAAAAACATAAAAATATGTTAAAAACAACTTGAAATCAAATTGAGAAACGGCATGTTATTTAGCAAAAGTTAGTGTTTTATTTCAGTGCTGTGATATTCACTGCTGTAAAAAATGAGGTCAGTAGTTCGAACATTGATACAACTGTCACTGTAGATGTATCAGAGAACAGTCCTTTACTTCGGGTAGGTTCTTTTTAAATAATACACCATTCTTGATGCACTGATAAAAAAATTATTTTTGAAACAAAGAATTGATTTTATTACATGTACATTGTTATTTTTGTAGACGATTTTTGCTGATGACAGATATGTCATTCTGAAAATGTCGTTTTTAGGTACATGTACTTAATTGGCATGTTGTCTTTTTTTTCTTTTTATAACGACAAAGAAACAAAGTTGCTAAAGTATCATTTGATCAATTTAAGAAAATGCCTTTAAATCAGTAGGTATTTTGCTTTCCTTATTTCCAGAATACAGACCACCTCATTGAGAAGCGACTGTTGGAGGACCCGGAATGTGATGTTATAACTATACCAACAAGCATACAGGTTTATTTGTATGACACGAAATACAAATAAGATATTTCAGAAAATAAAAATGTTTAAATGCGATAAGTTTAGACACGGTTTGCTTTGTTATAGTAAAGATTGATATACTAGTATTTTAAATATACACCTGGAAATAAGTTAAGCATACCCCGGAAATTTAAAATTGGTTGTGATTGAAAGCACTGTCATGAGATGACGACATAATTGAGCTAAGAAAAAGTAATGTGATAAGTAGCGATACCAATTTAGTAACCATGAACAAGTAATTTTGAGTTTCATTAATTCTTTTTAAGCATAAGCAAATGTGTTGTTTTTACCAAAAAAAAATTCTGGTTTATGATCCTAAGAAGAGAGCTATGTGAACTTTCCTTGGGTAATATATCAAAGGTACTATCGCTGACATGAAATCCTGCAACATATGTCTGCAAATTTCACATAACACTTTCTACTTTGCGAGCTAGAAACACATTTGTATCACTAAATGGAAACGGTTTAATTCAATCTTGATTTTACTCAATTTCAGGCCCCAGAAGAAGAAAGTTTAGAACCACAAAATGATTCAAGTTTATTTGATAGATTAAGTCCAACGGTAAAACGCGTTTTGTAAGTAGTAATGCTTGAACGTTGTATTTGACTCAAAGATCCGATAAAAAGTTTGCACTTTTAGAAAATACATCTGTTTAGAATAAAATACATTGAGACATTTATAATTGGAATAATTTGTTTCTTTAATGGGAAATAATAATCAAACGCTAAGGCGAAGTGTGA